TGGATATGAAAGTGATGCAGCAGTGGATAGCTTGTGTAGCACGGCTTGTATTGCCGCGTTTGGGTTGCGCTACTTGCGATAAGAGCTGCGTTTACGGGGAAACCGAACGTTCTCTTGAGAGCCGTGCTTCCGGTGAACTTTGTTTTGCCCATGCCATTTGGTAGCCGTCACTCGGTCTCGCCTCTCTATCAAATCAGCTCCGATGGGATGGCTTGAAGATATTTAGATTGTAATAATGCCATCCTTGGACTGCTGTCCGTACTGGTGTGCACAACAGCGGTTAACCGCGTGAACAAAACCATGGGGGTATTCTGGTTACGACCAACGAATCTGTGACGGTATACGGTAATATCCTCTGCAACAGCCCCCCTCAATGTTGTAGCCATCGCCGTGGTACACTCCGAAACTTCGTTTTTTTCCCCGCGGGTATCCTTCATAATTTATTTTCAATTTTTTCACCCCTCTACCTTTGATTTAGCCCCCGGGGTGTTCGTTTAACGTCTTTTTTTGGGGCGCCCCACGGGGCGTTCGCACACAATCCCACGGACGGCAGTCCATGGTGGTAGCAATTCTCGTGTGTGTGCCAGTTGCCGTATATGTTGTATAGTTGGTGTTGAGTCCCGACATTGTGTTGGTCAGCATGTCAGCGCTTGCGTTGTGTTTTGGAGCAGGTGCATTCACAGCAGGAAAGAGACTACGCCCCTCGGGGATTTCGCCCCGGGGTTTTATTTTTATTTCTAGAAGGATCGCCCGTCTACCTTTGAGGTAGCTCCGGGGTGAAGTATGATTTGACAGAAGACGACGATCGCCGTGGGAGGCTATGGCAGAAGATACTACGCTACCCTACACCACTTTGGTGAATTTGAAGGAGCAGTCTTGGTGATACTGTAGAGTGGAGGGATTCGGGCGGAAACCTCTTCGCCGAAAAACACGCTCCCGGAATTGTCTGAGCAGTTTTCATGATACCAATCCTTGAAGAAACCTGGCTGTAGAGCTCACAACCACCAACATGCAGCAAACGATCCGTCCGCGTTAGAAAAGGTCGCAGCATTGTGGGCATCGTGGACCGCCTTCGCGAGAAATTTTGCGCATGAGTAAACAGATCAGGGAGGGGGTACGCAGACCGTATTCCTTATCCCTAACCCTGGCCCAACTTCCCTGATTGCATGATTTTTTTCCAACGTATTTACCTACTCGATGTACCCTGCGAAGTCTAGTGGTCCAAGGGCGAGTATCCAGCGAAGCTGAGCCAAACGTTCAAGGCTACGCGCGCAGCAGTGTTCTCACCGCTCTTACCCTGCTTGGAGCACCCTAGCGTGACGTACCAGATCCTGGATCGCAACGTGTTGTTTTTTCATTGCAGCAGCAGTGCTGGTCTTGTGGTAGAGCACAATCATATACCCGTCCTGCTTGGTGTCGCAGCGCCTCTGTCGATGCTCACCGCCCACCGCCATGGTTTGATTGTCTTTCTCGCACCCCCTCCCGTCAGGCATGCAGACCAGGTTGACCTGTTGCGTACGGCGGCGAGGGCAAAGTTCGACGAGTCACTGTCGGGATTGCGGGTCAGCCCCGACGTCGGCAAGCAGATGATGGACGCCATCCAGGCAAGAGCAAATTGGGCATTGTGTATTCTCATAGTAGCTACGTGGTCCTTTATACCTTGCTTGATTGGGCCAGCCTGAGGCCGTTCGTGGTTGTATACCTTGGGTAGTCAGACTTGATGTTTGGACAGGTGTTGATGTTGTCCAGAGGTACCGTAAACTACGGAGTTTTCCCTGCGGGGAGGGGATCGTTGTTTTTTTATGAAACCAGCCCCCCGGGGTAAAAATTGACGTACCGCGGGGGGTTAGCTTTTTTTTATTCAACGCTACCCCGGGGGGGGGGGGTG